TATATATATATTAAAGGGGCGTATAGTATCTTTTAACCTTACTAATACTATTATAGGCTTTAATTAGTATTTCTTTAATATTAATATAAAGTAACCTTACTAACTACTTAAATTTACTAGTATAAAAGTTTAGGCTAGTATTAGTAATAATCTAGTTAGGTAGGCTAAGGTAGATATTAATTTAGTATATTTAAAGTGCTTCTTATATATACTTTATAGTAATATTTATAAGTAAATAGGCTACTTAAAAGGATATTATAGTATTAACTATATATAAGGCTAGGTAGTTACTATTAAGGTAGATAATATTAATAATAATCTTATAGTTAAAGTTATATTTATTATTATATAAAGTAAATTTAAAGTAACTAGGCGCCTTTATATTTATTTAGTAGTAGTAGTAAACTTTAGTTAATTTCTTTAAGGCTATAATCTTAACTTTATTACTAAATTATTAGAGGACGTAATAAAGCCTTTAGACTAATAGGTAGCTAAAGTAATAATAAATTTACTATAACTTATTATTTATAAGATAGTAGTAAGTAATACTTTACTTATATTAATTAAGCAGTATCTATATATAGCCTTATTTCTAGATAGTAGGTATAATAGTGTTACTTTAGATTAGCTTATTAGTAAGGTTATTAAATTTAATACTATATTAATTTATATCTATAAAGTAAAGTAGAAATAGGGTATTTAATAGTATTATATAGAAGGTTAACATACTAAAGGGGGTTTATATATTAATTACCCCTTATAATTTAAAGTAGTTACTACTACTAAAGTAGATTTTTACTTTACCTATTTATAACTTATTTATAGCTAGATTTCCTTTTATTTAGTAGTAAAAGATAAAATACTACTTATATCTAGCTATTAAATATTTAGCTATACTAAAGTTAGGTATAATACTATAGAATAAGATAGATAAATATTACTTATTAAGGGTAAAAACGTTTACGTTAGGTGGCTTATTATTATATAGATTCTTATATAAGGAGTTATCTTTTATAAGAAAATAGGTTATAAATTAGTTATATAGTAATAAAAAAAAGCAGGCCTATTAATAGTAGATAAGTTAAAAAACGTTATTAATATATAAAACGTAGTGCTTAATTCTTTATCTTTATTACTTTTTATATAGTTACCTTCCTTATCTAAAGTAAATAGCTTATATCTCTTAAAGTTAGTTATAAAGTAGTTAAAGGCTTTAGGTAAAAAGTCTATTAGATACTGCTCTTTATACTTATAGTAGGCTTATTACTTTTTATTTTTTAAGTGCCTTATTAACTAATAGTTAGGCTTACTATATATATAGTACTTCTTTATAAATAATAATAAGGGTAAAGGGGGTACTTATTACTATAGATTACTATTAAAAGGGCGCTATAGTATAAAGTTACTATAGCTATAGTTATATTAGCTAAATTACTAGTAACTTTACTAGCTATTATAAGTATAGTTAGTTTAGTATTAATTATCTACTTCTTTAGTTAGGTATTAATATATAGGTTATTTAAATTATATTATATTACTAATTACTAATTAAAGCTAGCTATATATACTAGTAAACGTTAAAGATAAATTAAAAAGGGTAAAGGAGCACTTTTTTATCCTATAGTAGGAGTTAAGTAATTAGTTATAGAGGGCTACGTTAGATAAAGTACTAATCCTTATAACTATTCTTATAAAGGTAGTTACTCTCTTAATAAGTAACTTTAGGTATTTAGCCTTACTTTTATTTAGATTATTTAAAATAGTCCTTATTAAATTAGTCCTTTATAGCTTAGTAAGGTAGGCCTAAAAGGTCTCTTTATTTTTAAAATTACCTTTTATCTATATAACTATAGTAATAAAGTTAGTCTAGTTATAAAGATAGTTAGTATAGTACTTTATAGCCTTACCTTTAAGTATAATAAAGAAGGCGCTTATAAAGTGCTCTTACTAGATCCTAGCCTTTATATAGTAGTTATAAAAGATTATAAGCTTTAATTTAAGTAACTTATATACCTCTTTACTATACTTTATCTTATTAAGATATAATTTAATAAGGTTAGTAAGCTAGTAAGTTACTAGTAAAGTAGTAGTAACTAGTGTAACTAATAAATAAGGGTAAGTATTACTTACCTACTTAAATAGTAAAAAAATAAAATTTAGGTTATTATATAATAAGGCTAAATTAATAGGCCTTTATTAACCTTTCTAGACTTAAGCGACTTATACTAAGAAGGTAATAATATAAGAGGGGCCTAGTTAATCTTATATTAATATTATTTTTAGTAGTAGGTCTATAATATCTCTTATAAAGTTAGGTTTATTAATCTTTAAGTAAAAATCCTTACTTTTTTTTTTTTCTTTAATATCCTTAAGCGTTTACGCCTTTAGATTATTAGCCTTAAGGGTATAGTAAATTTATTTAGTAATAGTTAGTAACTTTACTATTAATACTTATATACCCCTATATATTAAGTAGTCTTTAAATTTAATAATAGTTTTATAAGTAGTACCCTTAAAGGTATTAAGTAACTATTTTTTAAAGTCTTTAGTAGTATATCTTTATAGCTATTAACTATATAGCTATATAAAGCTATATTATATTATTTAAAGTATAATAATAGTACTTAAGGCGTTATATTACTTAACTTAAGTAAGGCTATTAGGAATATTAGCTAAATTAGTTATACCTTATAGTTATATAATAATAAAGGGCTAGCTACGCTTTAGGATAAGATATAGATTCTTAATATCTTATAGATAGATATACTTTTTTACCTTAGCTAGCGCCTATAGTTTACTTTACCTCTTACCTAGTCTTTCCTCTGCTATTATTACCCTCTATTAGCCTTACTAACCTCTTAAATATAGGCACTTACTTCTTGCCTATAAGGTTAAAGGTAAATCTATACGTTAGAGGAATTACTACTATTAGTATAAATAATAATAAGATAAGTAAATAAATAATATAATATAAGGAGGTATAAGTAAAATAAGGTAAATAAAAAGATAAAATAATAAATAAATAGATAGTAGTAAATAGCTTTAGGGAGGCCTTATGCTTTAGTAATATAAAGAGATAGCTCTAGGGAGGCCTTACGCTTTAGTAATATAAAGAGATAGCTTTAAGGAGGCCTTACGCTAGATCTTACTTAAAGAATAAGAGGAGACGTATACTATCTCTAAAAAGAGATATATATAGACTTTACTTTTTAGTAAGTAAGATACTATAGTTAAAGATTTTTAAAAAAAGAAAAGTAAGGAGTTAAGGTAATATACCTTACTTAAAAGTAAATAATAAGTAGTCTTTTTAGATTAATTAAGATAGTAAAGTTAAGTAAAAGTTATATTAGTTACTAATAACTATACCTTACTTAAAAAAGGAGAGAAAGTAAGAAGGATAGTATAGTTATTAATAGGTATTTAAAAAATAAAAAAAAGTAAGTAAATTAAAGTAATATAAGTAACTTTTACCTTTTTTACCTTACTTAAAGAATAAAAAAAGGTATACTTACTAAAGGTAACGCTTAGCTACTAATTATCTAGTTAAAAGAAGAAGTTATAATTACTATAAGCTATGCCTAGCTAATAACATAATATTAGAAGTATATAAAGGTAAAATTAGTAGAAGCTATTAACTTATAAATACTATATTAAAAGTAGATTACTTAGGTAGTTCTTACTTAACTACTTTATAGCTAGTCCTACTAGTAAGATCTTATTTAGATAAGAACTTATAAGAGTCTGTTTACTTATAATCTTATATAAGCTGTTACTGCTATAGTAAGATAAAAACTTAGTAAGATAAAAATCTTAATAATTAGAGGAAAAAAAGGTTAAAGAATAAAAAAAAAAAGAACTTAAAGAAACTTAGGTATAAAAAAAAGATAATTATACTAAATACTATAAAGGTTATTAGTAAGTAAGTAGTATATAAAGGAAAAGACTTTTCTAAAAGTAATAAAGTTAATAGTAGTAATAGTAGTTATTATATAGCAGACATAAGGCTTAAAGGGTTATTTACTAGGTTTTATAAGATCTTAGGTACTAATAATCTTTAGGCTAGGTAGCACTTTAATATTTTAATTTAAGCTACTGTAGTAAGTAAAGTACTATAGTCTCTTCTAATAATCCTTACTAATCTATAGTAGTAGTAACTATAAAGTTAACTACTAATTAGTGTTAGTATTATAGGGATTATAATTAAGGTAGCTATAATAGTATTAATTAACTATTAGTAGCTAGGTTAAGATATTAATAAGGGAAAGAGAAGAGGTTACTGCTGTAGGTATTTATAGTAGTATAAGTAAGCCGCTGGGGTGAGTCACGTGATAGTAAATTACGTGACTATAGATCGGCTCCACCATTAAACAGTTGAATATCCCGACATAAGTACTGCGACCGCATGGTTATGAACAGCACTGTCTCCGAGGTTTCCGGGCTAATGGTCTCTCCTTGGTACAGACAGGCTTGTCGCAAGCTCATACTACAGCTCACTTAAGACGGGAACTATTCGCAGCTATGAAATGAAACAAACAAAGCCGCCGCCACTTCTCCAGTCGGCTATTCCTGGAGCCTGATCGTTGTCAACAAGGACTGAACAGCCAATCAGTGGATTTCTCATCCTCGGCCAGATATCGTGCTAGATACGCCTGGTGAGTTCCTGGGCTTTCCCTGGGCCCAGGAGACCTGCTTATCTGGATATCCCTTCCATGAGACGGTTACTATCAACAATCGCTCCCTCACTAGAGGATCACGCTTGATCGGGGTTCTATGATTAAGTTCTGCTGTTCTCGAAGACTTCCTCCCTTGCCCAGACATTAGCATTCGACAATAGTATGTTCCGATGTTATGCCCAGTTAATGTCGGATATTCCCCGCGGTATCTCCGACATACAATGTTTTGATCTTCTCGGACTCACGCTTGGGTCGTCTTGTGAAAGCAGGCGACGGGGATTATCCACTATTGACTACCTTTAACCAGAGCTTCGCCCCAAGATCACATCAAAACAGCTTTGCGGCTTCGGTCTTGATCTTGTTGCAATCACCGTCTCCGGTATAGTACGGGAAAGTAATGGTATCGTCGGGTAGACGAAGGCGTGTGTGCATTTGCCGCTTGCGCTGGATGAGGCCAAGGATGTATGGGACGATAACCTGCGAGAATCCAACCCGCCAGCCACTCAGTCGCCCGCAAGTTGTGTAGATGCCAGGGTGCAGGACCCAGAGTGGGAGTTTGCAGCCTTTCGACATCTCATGGAAACGTTCTGCCGCTGGGGTAGGCTCCCCACCTTCATAGATGGCAGGGTGGAAGATTCCGCGGCAGCGGTGGTGGCCAATGTAGCTGAATTCTGCCTCGAGGTCGGAGGTCGGGTAGTACGTCAGGATCATGCCCCCATGTCCTCAGAATCCAATCATCAGGACCTAACTCGATGTCTTCGGTTGGCCATAACACTACCATTGTCGTCCAAGTTGACTTCTATAGGCTCAGTTGACATAAACAGAAAAAAAAAGGATATCAAGTCAAGCTTAGCGGGAAACGTTTCTTCTCGTCCTGCGTCGATGTATCGATCGGTATTTATCTACCTTGTGCAACAGCACGGCTGGTTTGCGCCTAGCCAGCACTGTTAACAGATCATTATCTGTCTTCCTTAACCTGGATGGAAAATAGTAGCCTGTCTAGGGGTAAAGGGACGCTTAGGATTACAGGTAAAACACAGGTCACTTGTATGACATATTAGATAAACCTCTAGACAGGGTTCCCCTCTTACTCTGGATTATCTCTGAGTACTTATGAGTCGATTTATGGCCTGTTGTGAGTATAACTACGCTAGACCCTTGTAAGCGGATGCTGTCAATGAGGGATTTCTTGTAGCCTACAGCCTACTACGGAAGGTAAGACCCTGGGTAGGGCTACTAGTTGTGCCGCTTAATCCGAAAGCTCGTGTTGGTCGTTGGTCGTTGGCTGTTGGTCGTTGGCCGTTGGCCGTTGGTTGTCGGCTGTTGGCTATTACTGGTTGGCTGTTTGCTTATGTGGGTTACCCCCTTGCTTTCTCGTGTTTAGCTGCTACTGGCTCCTGGTAGATAGTGAAGAAGACAGTTTGGTAGAAACATAGCAATAAAGTCGGCTCAGTAGAACAACGTCTGAGAAGCATGTTTTCTCTCTGCTTGTACTGAAAGACAAGTGAGGTGCCCATATATCTTCTAAAGGGATTTAGGAAATAAAAAAAAACCTAATCGTAAGTTTTAACCCTATGTTCTCCTTGCTTCTAAGGATTCGTAAAGAGTCCTCTAGCAGACGATAATACTCTTTACGCCGTTAGTTGCCATGCTTATTAATCCGTTCCGCCCATGCGAGGGTTCGCCAACCTTCCAAGAGGAGTATCGCACCAACTACAAACCAAAGTTCATTAACTCCTGGGTCGGCCCCCAGATTGTGGCTCCGGATACTCCATATGTAGCTGCAGTAGGACAAAAGCAGCTATACTTTCTTGACACCCGGTTTGACCCCAAGACTGCACAGCACATTAAAGAACAAATCGAGAGGGCGACTGTCGCAGGAGGCCCATACGAGGCTACCAAGATAGACGAGATCTCGGCTACAGCAGAAGTCATAAACACCCAGACAAATGAGACACTGTTTGTTTTTGACCCCCCCTACGCCAGGGTCCTGTTCGCGAAAGGAATCAACAGGCGCAACCCAGCTCTCCAACTACCTGAACACGAGCCTTCCGGGGATTGGCTGGTGACCTACGATGTTGGCAACCTGTTGAAAAATGGGATTGGTTATTGTAACCCGCTCTGTAAGCAAGCGGTCGACGCACCAAAGGAAGATGGGGAAGATGACGCTAGCTATCATAAACGGATGGACGACTTACACCGGAAGTAGGATAATAGTAGAGGGGTAGTATCAGACGCTAACACTGGCTTATAGTGCCCTTTATAGTATATTAAGCCTTTGTGGTTTCCGTCTTCTTTTGAGAACCGCCTGTGGCCAGTCATTCCACCCAAAAACTGTCTATCTGGTCTCAAACATGTTTGTTTCGTTTGAAGGATAATTATTTAATCCAAAGGACGTTTACTCCACCCAAAAGACATTTATTTATCCCAAAGGATGCGGGTTTCGATCCGCCACCCAAAATCCACCTAAAAGGTTGACTTATACAAGGGTTCTTTGGCAGGAGAACGAGGGATAGTGGACGGCCTTACCGTTATTCTACGCGCGAAGAGCTGGTACACCCATGCATTGCACAATGCTTCCTCGATGGCAATTGCTCGACAAAAGCTACGGGAGTCTTCTATCAGTGGCTGGGCCTCGAATGGTGAGGCCATGGAGACCGGAAGGATGCCGGAGCGTATTTCAAAGATTCGGCCATTCAACAAGAACTGAACGACGGACGATGTTTTCTTTCCCTGTGTCGACTCGAAAAGCTCCACTCCTGCGCAAGCCACGATCCAACCCCGCGTAACTTCCACCTGGCGACTTGTAAAGGAGAGCTGATGATGCCGAAATGTGTTCAGTTGACACCGTCAAACTCAAGTTGATCGTCTACAGATTCATAACCACCTGCGGTTCTCTCTAACCAACTGCGCAGCCGAGCGACGGCATGTCAACCCTCCCTCGCTGGACCAGGCAACTTCAGTATTCCAATCCTGACGGGGAGGGACCACACAAAGGTCCGGCATATCAGCATGTGTGCTGACCTTGTGCACGGCATGTCGTTTTCCAACCTACCAAAGGCTCCTTGGAGTGGTGAGTACCTGCCACTGCGAGCTCGTCAACAATGATGCGGTCAGGCGCGTCGCTCTGTTCGTTCGGAATGTGCAAGGGCGACTAGAACAGCTGCAGCTTAAACTCCAAGATCAATATGGGGCTATGCTTCCAGTATGGACTCGTGCGCTGACTCGTACGTCTTGCCCTTCGTGCGTGGAAAAGAGACACACTGCAGAACTTCCTGACAAGTCTTTCAGCGCCAGGGCACACCTACTATGTCTCATTCCTAAACCACCGTTCTTCTTGACACGGGCCCTCGCCGGGTATTTGTAAAGATACTTGAACGACTACCAGCTAATACTTGCATAAAGCATGGTAAATATACCACTTGGAGGGAGACGCGTACCGTTTTCGGCCGTGTTCAAGTTCAGAGGACGAAAGGGCCACCATCTAAACTATCCGAACTCTCGGCCCCAACATGTTGATCCCCCCAAATTTATGATTTGTTTGGTTTTACATACTGCTTTGAGGGTACCCGCCGCAAGTTTGGACGAGCCAGGAAAACCAGATCAATAGGTCCACCCGTTTTCAATCACCCGAGTCAGACTGTGGGACATGACGACAACGGTCAACTACTCTGCCCAAGGTACACCCGGGTTAAACATCTTCCCAACAAACACGACCATCCTCCGATATCCCGAGGAAAGCAACCTTGTTGTGGGGTTTCTGACCAATGAACTACCCCGGATACCAACGTTGTATCAAAATTCAGATTCCCCCACACCTGACCACGCTGAGATTGTATGTGGAACGGACGAAATAGACGTAGGTGCTGTTATTTTCTCGGGTCGATGACCGGGGCGTGGATAAGATCATCAGCAAGACTGGTCGCTGTAGCATGTTGATGAAAATAGTTTAATGGCCGCAAAAAGCACGTGCATCAGGGAGGCAATGTTAGAAATCAAGTCATTATTGGGTATATTGCATTCATTATATACCCTTTTCACCAGTCAGAATGCCTCTAGCATATTCGCTCCGCCAACCCTAAACCTGAGCGGGTTTTCTCTCCTCCGCATGCTCGACGTGCCCGATGGTAGCGATGGCAGCCTCCTGCTTCTCGTTGAAGACAACGTCCCTCGCCTCGGCGTCTTTGTTACCGAATAGGCCGATCTTGTACCAAGGAAGCTCGAAAAGACGGTCCATACTCTCCAGAGAGCGGCCAGCCGTCTCGGGCACGGAGAAGACTACCCAGATGCCGCCGATGGCGGTGATGGCGGCGAAGGACCAGAAGGTGCCCGAAGGACCGATGCCTCCAAGGCTGGTGGACGCCAGCATGTTGGGTACGGCACGGCTGCTACCGTACTGGCAGGCGAAGTGAAGGGTCATGGAGAAGGAGGTAGCGAGGGCGCGGACGCGGAGAGGGAAGATCTCGGCAGTGAGGATGTACGACATGGTGTTCCAGCCGAGGGCGAAGCCGATACCAGAGATGTAGATCATGGCGATGGCGCCTTCGCTGGCACGAACCAAGCTTTCTGGCAACTTGAAGGAATCATCGACCCCGAGCAAGGGCACGCGGGTCAGGAAGGCAGCCACGTAAATCATGGACACGGCTTGCAGGCAGATGCCAATGATGAGAGAACGCTTGCGGCCGATGACATCGACAAGGAACAGAGCGCAGGCGAGGGCGGAAAAGAGCTTGACGATACCGAAGACAGCGGTGACGAGAAGTGGAGTGGCTGAGCCGCTGACGCCGAGAATCTTGAACAGATCAGGGGCATAAAGGGTGATGGAACCAGCGCCACTCCATTGGGCGAAGACCTGCACCATGGAGGCGAGGTAGAGGCGGTACAAGTTGCTGGGGACCAAGAACAGCTCCTTGAGCTTTCCGTACCAGCTGCTGCCCTTGGTGGCCTCGAGCTCCTCGTGGAGGGCAGCCTGGATGCCATACATCTCGCGGGTGATGTACTCGTGGTCGGCGGGGAGATTGCGAAGGTGAGCCATGGCATCGGTAGCCTGCTCGATCTTGCCCTGCTTGACGAGGAAGCGAGGAGACTCGTACTGGAAGAAGGACAAGATGAAGATGACGCCGGCGAACATGATGTGCAGCGAGGTGGGCACGAGCCAGCGGTTGTGGGTGTTGTCGCCAAGGTGGATCTGGCAGCCGTAGTTGGTGAAGTAGGCGAGGAGGATGCCGAGGTAGACGAAGCCGCTGAAGATGCAGGTGCAAAGACCGCGGACGGAGGCCGGGGCGATCTCGGCGAGGTATACGGGGGCGACGACGGCGGTCTGACCGATACCGAGGCCGGCGATGAGACGGCCGGCGTAGACGGCGGCGAGGCTTCCGTTGTTGCCCATGAAGATGGCGATGCCGAGAACCCAGAGGACGCAAAGCTGGCGAGTGGCCCAGAGGCGGCCGATTTTGTCGCAGATGAGGAAGGCACTGGAGCACGCGCGGTTAGAGAGAAGGGCGGTAGAGCGCGCGGTGTGATGACGGAGAAAGAAGCTTACATGAAAGCACCGCCAACACAACCCAGCTGGACCATGGCGGAGACGTTGGCCTTGATGTTTGTCTGTTCTTCTGCGCTGTAGGTTTCGTAGTGGATGAACTTTTGGAAATCCTTGGAGGCGAAGGCGCCAGAGATGAGGCCCTCATCGACACCGCGGGCCGCGCCCATGAGACCGAAGGAGAAGACAGCAAACCATAGTCGCCAGTTGAGGACGCCCTTGGGCTCGTTCTCGTCTCCGAGTTTGAAGATGCTGAAGGGCTTCTTGGCGCCACCTGCCATGTTGACGGATGCAGTACGCTCGCACGAAGTGGAAAAGTGTCCGGTAGCAAGGGGGGATAGCAAGAAATGAAGAGTAGGCGAGGACTTGGATGAACACGACGGTTGAACAACGAAAAAGAGCGGCAGATTGAAAGGTGAGGAACGGGACGTTTTAATAGAGATTCAGTTCGGGGGTTGGGAGAAGCAAACACCCACCACGACCCCAACTCCTAACTCCCAACTCCACGCGCCTCCCTTCCATCCCCCGCTGCCAAAGATGACAGCCGGCGGCCAATGCGACGACGATCCCATGGGTAGAGAGGGCGGCTGTCGAGATTGCCGGGGTGGAGGGACATCGTGGAAACCCATCGAGGGGAAAGAAATGGACGGATCGAACCCCGGTTACGAATCTTGTCAAGGATGGCTAGAGATGGTGGTATGGGGATGAACGTGGAGACTCGTGCGGAGAGAGATGGAGGCGGCTGACAGGGTCGTGGAGTGAGCGGCAACTTGACCATATCCGGTTAAGACCGGAATGGTGTATGTACTTGGGGAAAAAGAGAGGGGAGTAGGGGGGCTGGACTCGAAGTAAACGGTCAGTTGGGCTCCGTCGTGTTCCCGTCCACCTCGCCGGTTCATCCGGTCACTGACACCCTCCGTCTTGCTCCTCAACACTCGTTGATATTGTCACGCGTCCATTCCGTACGGTATGACTGCATTGCATAGGGTTGCTTCACCCACTCTAGTATGCAAAGAAATCATGTTCCTGCGCGCTTCTGTATTACTGGAAAGGGCAGGAGAAATGAAAGGGTTGTTGTTGTTGTTGTTCGGGCCGTGTCCGGATAGTTCAAAGATGATAGATATCTGTACCCATCGACACGAAACGAAGGGTCAAGATGAACGCCGAAAATCCGAAGCAACGGGTGATACAGACTCCAAACTTCAAAGCCGTTCCGCCTGCGCGGCCGGAGAACTGGGGTGAGCTGCGGTGCGTTATTGAGATGAAGATTCGCGATGCGAGGGCACCCATGGCACACATGGCGTAGCCGCGCTTGAGAAGACTCGGGCACGCACTACGCCTCCGTACTAACGTGGCACCGGCACCGGCACCGTGAGCCATGACACTCCGTCCCCGGGTATTCTAAGGCGCGGCCAGAAGACGACTAGCGGCGCTTACACCGGCCATGTTGAGTGTTGAGGATGACAAAGCCAAGAGATTGCCCTAATGCTTGTTTCCACACCAGCGCAGCTGCCTGGAACCGTTCCGGGTCACCGGATTAGGCCAAGAGTTCGGACAAAGACTATCGGGCCATTGACAAGTGGCGTAGCGGACCTACCAGGCTGTGCCAAGGTACCCAGCCAAGAGGCGCCGAGGAAGCCAAGTCGGTCACGACGGCAGCGTATGTGTGTGTAAGTGCATGCATGCATGTATGTGTAGCCGTGACGTTATGCTTGGCTATCCCCTCTGCCCCCTGGCATCATATAGAGTAAAAGAGAGGGGGACTTGGAGAAGAAGCGCACAGATCAAGCTTTCCCCGCAGAGTGTGCGGTGTGATAGCGACCCCGTTCCCCCAAGTTGTTTGCGGAATGTCTTTAATATGACTCGTTGACTAGGTAGACAAGTCTGCTGACCACAAAGGGGGATATGGGGGAGAGGAAGCGGGAAGAAAGCCAGGCGCTCCACATCCGCCGGTGACCCATATCCCATCTCTGTACCTCCATGCGTACACACGTACGCATCTGTGAGAGACCCCGGATGGGCCCCAAATCAAAAGTGCTTGTCTGAGCTTGGCTTCTACGCAAGGAAGATGGGGAGGGAGTGGGAGGAGAAGAAACCTGGCATTAGCGCGGACTTGGATGGTCGGCATCGCAGCTCGCCGTCTCGCGACTAAGCCGATGGGACCAGACCCGCGGGAACAACAACCTCTCGGTCAACTTCCGCGGGAGCTGGCCTCCATGTAAGACCTTCCCGCGGGAGCTGGCCTCCGCATCGAGTCATGGACCCCGGTCTGCTAATTCCGTGGGGGGGGGGGCTTATCGGACCGCACATTCTTTTCTTTCGGCTGGATGTCGGTGGACAACAAGGAACCTGTATTGGTAAGAGATTGGGGAACCCAGCCATGACTTTGAGGGGCTCTGTATCAGTACCTCGTCGAAGAAAGCTTGTTCTTCGTGACCGCCAACCAGGACGATGATGATTTTGCGGGTTGTTCGTGGGCCCGTGTCGCTCGATTTTCTTAACCCCGTCTGTCTGTCTGCCCCGGCGAGTACGACAGCCACCCCCGGGTCCCCCTCACGTACGATGCAGTTAATCACATCTCGACCCCAGAGTCCGTCCCCGCGAAGAGAGGCTTCCTTCTATGGAGACCGTATGGGGAGACCTAGTGGGCCTAACTTGTAAGCCGCGCTACGTGCTTCTCTCTCTCTCTCTCTCACACACACACACACACACACACACTCACACAAACGCCTGGTTGGACTCGGCGAGACTTGCTTTACCCACCCCAACAATACGAAATCTCTGACCGACATCGACACATTCCATTAGCTCATTCCGCGGTGGAGAGATGAGTGGAGGACGCCCTCATCATACTGCATCACATCTTCTCCAGGCATCTTCTAGCCCCCCGCCCCAGCCATTCTGGACCAGGTCGGTGATTAGTACGACTGAGCGAAGACCTTGGTCTCGTACGATATGCAAGATGCGGCAGCAATGGTATTATGCTATGTCTTGGGCCAGCGGATTCCTCTTGCTCACTACAGACGCCCTTCCCGTCACCCATAACCAGGTCTCGGGGCTCGGAACAGAACCCGAGCCCGACAGATACGCGGTAAACGGTCCGGAACCCTGTTTTCCTCCCCATCTGCTAGGTAGTTTGTTTCTGCACGCTCACGTCAAGACATGATTGCAAATACGCGATTCATTCCACGTGACGACACGCTCCTTGGCATGAACTCTCTCCGAGGTGGCCCTCCGACCTGATCGTCCATCCCCAACCGTTCCCCCTCCACAAGCCCTCTGCTGCACTTATCGAGATGACTCCCGCCCAACGCGACGACCCAACTCGGCCGCGAAGGCATCGTCAAACGCCCACAGCGGCAGCAGCAGCAGTAGCATCTCCTCCGGGTCCTCGTCGACGCTGCAGACGTCGCACACGACGACGGTCCCCTGCTGCCCCATGCGCGGACAGCGTGACAATCACTCTGCACAAGCACACGACACGGCTCGTCGGCACCCGCTCATACCTCGCGCCGCGTCACGGCGACGTGCGTCCCCTTGCACCCTTGACGGCGGCGGAGCAGGTTGCGGAGGCGATCCAGTGGATGCGCATATAGTTGAAACTCTTCCTTTTTCTTTCTTTTTTGATGCTACGGTGACGGAATCTGTTTATCTTAGATTCTAAGAGCCTGTCTTGCAGTTGACGAGGTGAGTTGTCTGGCAAAACCGCCGTGGTATCGCCCGAGTGCCACTCGACGCGCTGGAATTCCCGACAAGCAGAGAAGACGCTGGCATCCTACAGTCACTCAAGTACGAAAGTTGGTGAAAACCCATGTCTTGTAACAGAAAAGGCCTCATCGATGCAAACGCCAAGACGTCTTGGCGATGCAAACGCGGGCTTGTCGACCAGAGCCTCATCTCCCCCAACCCAGTGTGTGTGTTCCGATATCATTCATATATGTCTTCAGCGTTCAACCCTTCTCAGAAGACCCCCAATCGCAACCCGGCGGGATGTTGCCGTGTCTGCATCTTCCCGCAACTCTAAACCGCATTGGAGAGGGAAAAAAGCCGACGACCCTGGCCGCCTGTCCCCTCGGTGCCGTATAGCCATCCCAGAGGCCCAACTTGTCCCCGATGAGTCTTACCCATTACGCCTTGGCCCATGTTTTCACCCTCTCTCTCTCTCTACCCCCCTCACCCCTCCCTCGCCCCCTCACGGAACCCCAAAATTCGCCTTGGGCATCTTCCGCGAACGAGGGGGGTTGGTCGAATAGCCGGGCTCTCTCTCTCACCTGCCTCCATCCGAATCAGGAGCACGAACATGTTAACCCTGGCTCGTTTCTAAGCAGCTTGCTCACTCGCGCACCGTCGCCTCCAAATTTCCCCAGTGCCCCCCAAAGGTGTCTCGTCCGTCGTCGTCGTCGTACCCGGCAAACCGCCCCAGCCTCTCGGCCGCTATCGCCGCGTATCGCCCGGCCGCCCCGGCCTCGCCCGCACCACCATGCCGTAGAACTCTCCCGCCTGCGCCGCGACGTGCTTCAGCTCGTCCCGCTTGCGGTCTTAGTAGAGCATGTTCAGTATTGGGTCTGCTTTTTTGTTTTTTTGCTCTGTCAAACCCAGGTGAACCTCAGGGTTGGAGAGTTGACAGGGGTGTTCAACAGCTGATGCTCAGTTCCGAGTGACATGTTGAGCCTGGCCCAAACAAACAAAATGGTAGTTTCCAAAGTGTTTCCCTACTTTCTCGGGACCGGGGACGGGTTTGTTTGCACGCCAACTTGCACCATTTCATCCACCGAAAAAAATATCTGTGACACCATCCGCGTTTTGCGGTTGCCGCCGTCACTCTACATCAGAATAAACATCGATCGCATTTAGCCTCATGCACCCTCCTTCCCCCCAAAAAAGAAACCCCCATGCGGTGATCGTTTCTCGGCGAAGGGTCTTGCTATTAGTATTCTGGGGTGAGGGCATGGCTTGCTGCAATGCCGAGTGTGCCAAGCTACTTGGCTTTTTGGGGAAAAGGTGGCTTTGGTCGAGAGACAGAACCGCTGCACCTTGAGGGTTGCCGAGGGGAACCATTTAGTCTGATCTGCTTGGCGCAGCCGATCTTATTATAGTCGAGCTTGTCTCTCTGTCGAAAGAAGGTAGAATAGCGGCGTGCTTGTTTGAGGATGGAGGCACCGAGACAACCCACCTTGCAACTTCTAGGGACCACCGCGATGCTTGACACCACCTTTTTCCGCGGCTCACTCTAAAGAAAACATGGGATTATCAACGATAGTCGAGATTCAAACAAGAAAGTGGCAACAAAGAGAGAGAGAGAGTGTGAGTATGTGTGAGAGAATTGCCATTTCAATGGCTGACGGGGATTGAGCCCGACATGACTGGCACGTGTTAGTGATGCCTGTCCTGTCGAGACGGTAACGACGCAAACTGATGTTTACGGGTCGAACTCACAACCTTGAGATTAACGGCCCTACCATCTACCGATTGAGCTAGTCGGGCCAGGGCTGTTGCAATGGGGGGTTGAGAGGTTGTGCGCAGGTGCGAGGCCAAGAATTGGAAGCAGATTGCATGCGAACGAGGACACGGCACCGACGTATCTATCCATATCCAACACTGAAAGGAGGAACTCATTGAGATGAAACTAGGTCCGCCTTTCCCCAGGATGAGCCGGCATCAGCGGTGCACCGTCACGGAGGTGCGGGGTGGCGGACGGGGAGCTCGGCCGGCGGGATCCGGGCGCTCCCGAGCGGTCGAGTCCGGAGGAGTCAAATACGGCGGCAGGCAAGTCCCGCAACCCCCGACGCGTTCTGCATGTTTCACGGATTGGAGGTGCCGGGACGAAATCAGGATGCGACGCTTGAATCATGCAGGTATAACTTGGTAGCACGACGTGTCGTCCCTATACAACATCCAAAGCGTTGCCCCCGGATAAGGGGATTAGTCTATAGACGTCCGTTTACGTGATTAATCCACGATACCAGAACATGCATGCGCACGTCTTCTCGAGAAACGCAGACCCCCAACCTACACAAGTCAAGCCCGGATGAGAACGGGTTTCCGCACGAGGCTGTCTACTCCTCGACCCTCTCCTTCACCAGGGCCCAACACTTGCGCATGCCGGTCCCCATCGATTCCTCGTCCACCTCCTCCGCCGTGGCCCACCGGTGCCTCGCATGCGACGACGACACACACCCCCCCTCCCCCCCTTCCACTTCGAACAGGTGCACGTGCATCGTCAGCTTGATGTGCGAGAACAGCCACGGCACGCTGCCGAGGTCGCCGACGTGCCGCGCCCGGGGCCCGTCCTTGGCCCTCGCCTTCTGCTGCTTCTCGCCGCCGCCGAGGAGCAGACCCGAGACGTACCCCTGCGCGTCCCGCTTCCTCGACGACGCCGTGTTGCTCGCCGCCGTCGGCGTCAGCGTGTGGCTCGGCAGCTCCCACATCCCGGCGAGGAGCCCCTTGTCCGGGCGCCGGTGGACCAGGAAGCGCCCGTCGCTGCGGCGGCGGACGGCGCAGACGAGGGCCTCCTCCTCGCGCACCGCCTTCTTGACGACCTTGAGCGGGAACTTCCTGGCGTGCTCGGCGATTATCTCCAGGGTTCTCGCGTCGGCCGCCCGCGGTCCCGGCGAGGCCGGTTCTTGTTCCTTTTTGGCCGTCTTAGAGGAGGAGGAGAAGAAGGCGGACAGGGTGGCCTGCTTCGCGACCGGCCGAGACCTGGTCCCCTTGCCGGCCTCTTTGCCCCCCTTTACCGCCTTTGGCGCTTTCGCGTCCGAGTCTTCCCTCGAGAGGGCAGCCTCATCCTCCGCCGCCGCCGCCGCCGCCTCCTCCTCCTCGAAGGGCTCGCATATCGAGCAGAGGTCCTCAATGTCCTCCACCTTGGCGGCCCTCGTCGGTTTAGCGGCCACCAGCAGGCCCTCGGCGTAGGCGCGGCAGGTCGAAGTGACGGGACACGCGCCGCAGTTCGGCTTGGGCGTGCAGACGGTGCTCCCGAGCTCCATCAACGCCTGGCCCCACCGCCCCGGCCGATCGCTCGTCGGGGGCGGCGGCGGCGGCGGCGGCGCCTCCTCGTCCTCGTCTGAAATCCGGTCCCGGGCGTCTTCGGGGTCGTCCCTCGCGACGGCCTTGGCGAGCGCGTCGGCGGCGGCCCAGAGCAGGTCGATGACGGCCTTGTCGGTCTTGGCGTTGCCGAATACGCCCAGCTGCCGGCTCAGCACCCGGAGCACGTTCCCGTCGACCATGGGCGCCGCGCGGCCGAAGACGATGGCGGCGATGGCGCCGGCGGTGTAGCGGCCGACGCCGGGGACCTTGGCCTCGAGCTCGGCGGTGTCGGCGGGCATCAGGCCGGCCCAGCCCGGGTCGGCGACGACGAGCTTGGCGGCCTCGTGGATCCTCGTGGCGCGGCTGTAGTAGCCCAGGCCGCGCCAGGCGGCCAGCACGTCCTCGGGGGCGGCGGCGGCGAGGTCCCGGATGGTCGGCCAGCGCGCCATCCAGCGGTTCCAGTAGTCGATGACGACGGCGACGCGGGTCTGCTGCAGCATGATCTCGCTGATCCAGACCTCGTAGGCGCGCCTCTCGAGGGCGGCGCGGAGGCCGGCGGCGCCGTCCGGGTGGGAGCGGCGCGGGGTCGATCCAGGCCTTGCGCCACGGCATGCCGCGGGTGGTGCTGGTGGCGTCGAACCAGGCGAGAAGGGCGTCTCTGCCGCCGCGCCCGGGCCGGCCGTCCAGCAGCAGCGGACGGTGATAGTTGGCGGCGTGGGTTCTCGACGGGGGCGGGCAGGGGTCCGGCGTCGTCGTCGTCGTCGCCGCCTGTCCGGATGGGCCGAAGAGGCTTGCGTGAAGCTTCTCCGTGTCTGATTTCCGCGTCCTTTCGACCTTGCGCCGCTTGGGCGGCGGCTCTGAGATATCCTTGACTCCATCGTCGTCGACGGGGGGTGTGAAGTCCGCCTCGGACGCGTCTTTCCGTGGCGACGCAAGTGGTGGTTTGACGGCGGCTTTGCGCGTCCTGGATATTGCTTTCACCGGCTCGCTATCCGGCTCGTCGTCGGCTTGGGCCGAGATCCTCTTTGCCGCAGCGAGCGAGCTTTGACGGCGCACAATACCGCGCTGTATCATGGTTAGGTTTTGTTGTTGTAAGTGCGAGACGCGACGACCGGGAAGACACGTCGAAAAGGCGATGGTGAATGACGGCCAAGCTTTAGCGTCGATTCCGGTGACAGGTCCCTGGAACTAAGATCGCATCAGGGGTCTAGGGTCCCTAGAGACGGGTCACAGGCCACTGTAGCAAACAGACGAAGAGAAAATGAATGGAAAGATGGCCATGTTTTCCGTCTATCCCGTTGCTCAACTATCTAGCAATGTCATCTATCCATATGTCTATTACCTAGGTAATATTCTAGTACGTCTTAAATATTCCTCATTTCATTAAAACGGCGCGTTAGAAAAGTAGAAACGCAGCAAAATACATCGGCCGGCGCGCACCTTGCATCCATCCCAGCCTGTATACACATGGTATACGCATATAGTTACAGCAAAACAAAAGATCAGGTCCTACCAGGATTCGAACCTGGGCCTACGGAAAGGTCTGAAGGCAATCAGAATCCGACGTCCTAACCAACTAGACTATAAGACCATTAAACCTCTCTAATTACTGTCGGGGCCGTCGGTTCCACCGCCCACGCAGTCTGCGCACACGATGCCGCGAATAACACACAGGCGAGGACAGAGAGGGAACAGGACAGACAGATTTCCACCCTGTGTATTTTTAGGTTTCTAATCATAGTGTTGCGATGTTGACCATCGCCTAGATATCAGCAGTATAGATTAACGCCAATCGGCCGGAATAACTACGGCTACTTCGCCGTGGATCTACTGGATTCACAGGGATATTACGTAGTGGATTTGCCACGTAATCCTACAATAGTTTTGTTAAATCGTAGGGATTGTAATGGTTGCTTGATTGATTGTATGATATGTTGTGTGTATCTGGTTAAGATCCCGCAGAAGCAGGGAACTCCCCCTATTTCTTAGTTGGGAAATCCCGGAGAAATCCTGGCCATATGATTAGTGGATTTACCCTGAAAGTGGGGCCCTTTCACTGCCTATTCCCTAACAATTTACTATAGGGCAACTGTATATTTACTAGTTAATTTATATGTAATTCTGCTATATTTAACACACCTTTTTAGCGCTAGTAATATAGTTAATTACTATAGAGCCTGCGCTAAATATCCTCTATATATAGCCTATTTATTTATTAATTATCTTTTAATATCCTATACGTTTTCCTCCTCTATCTAGTAGTAAAGCTTTACTTTATTATTAGCTAATTCTTACTATTAATTTACTTTAAGGCGTATATATTAGTTACTTATATTTAATTAAGCTATAAATATAGTAAATTATAGCGCACTAAGCGCTTTTATTAATCTATTACCTATTAATTTAGTAGACTTTTTATATTTAATAGTAATTTAATTTACTACTACTTCTTAGTATAGCTAGTAGTTATAAATATCTATATACTATAGCCTTATCTATAATTAAATAAGCTCCTTAGTAATAAGCCTAATAGTTTAGGTATTATTATAGCTAATATAAATAGTTAGTAGCTATTTAGTAGCTACCTGCTTATTAAGTAATAATTTAGTTCCTATTTATATTAATAGTTAAATACCTAGTGTAGTAATTAATCTACTAGTAAAAAGTGCTTTTTTTATAGTAGATAATAGGGCTAGTAATTTAGCCTTAGTAGTTAATATTATTACTATATCTTATTTGTTAGCTTACTAAAAGATAAGCCCTCTAAATAGCTTTAGTATGTACGCTTATAAGCTATAATAGTCTAGTAAGTTATTAGTAAATAAGGCGTCTAAAGTAACCTCTAACGTATTATCTTTACTACCTAGTGTTACTTTATATTTAAGGTAAAGGTGCTATATATAGTAAAAATATCTAAGTATATAATTTACTACCTTTTAGTAATCTAGATTTAGATTATAGTTAAAGTAAGTAAGCTAGCTAGCTATAAAGGTAACGTCTAGCTAAGTTATTACTACTACGTAAAGGATTATTCTTACCTTTTTTAATATTAGTTAACCTCTTATAATAAGGCTATATATTTACTAGGTAATAGCTTAGCTTTTACTATAAGTAATAATTTATTATATTTCTTATTTATTAGTAGTAGTTTAGTTATTTTATTATAGTATACTACTTATAAGAGCTAGAGATAGTAGTTACTTTAGTTATAAATTACCTTAAGGCTAAAGAACTATTATAACAGGCCTCTGCCTTTAAGGTAGTATTATTACTAAAAAGCTACTATCTTATTACTTACTTATACTTTATTTATATAGTAATAGGCTAATACGTAGTTATTAATATAAAAAGAAATATAATATAATCCTTCTTCTAATAGTAATTCTTACTAGGCACTTAGTAAAAGCCTTATATAGTAAGTCCTTCTTTAAGGTACTTTTACTATAGTAGTAGTAATTATTAGAGCCTATAGAGTGCTTTTAATAACTAGAAGATCTAGCTAGTAATTTAGTAGCCTAGAGGTATCTTTATAAATACTACCTTATTAATAGTAGTGTAAATAAATATATTTACTATATTATATTAAAGTAATTTTAAATTAAAGTAAGTAGCTATTACTATAAGTATTTTAAATAATATACTTACTAATATAGCTATAGAGGTATCTTATAGATCCTTTACTTATTAGTTACTATAGACTATAAGTCTTACTTTAAATTTAGTTAATTAACTATATTTATTAAGCTTATAGGTATATACCTAATAGTAGCTAAGGATTTAATACCCTTTAGCTGCTACTTATAGCACTATTACCTAAGATTTTAATATTTTATACTTATATAAGTGCGCTATTTTAGTATCTTTAAATTACTTTTTATATAAGTAGCCTTTTAACTATTTATAAACTAGTAAAAGGTATAGTAACGTCTAATATATACCTATTAGCCTATAAAGTCTAGTAACACCTTTATTATATACTAGTAATTTACTAGTAACGTCTTTATAATTATTATACTTATTAGGCGTTATATAGTTAATTAAGTAGCCTTAGGCGCGCTTTAGCTAAAGGTAGTAGTTTTTACTTATTAGTTAACTTTATAATATACTAAACTACGTTATTACCTATAAGCTGCCTTATATATAGTCTTAATCTTTTGCTATAAAGTAAGCCCTATAAGGAAAGCAGCCTTAAATAAAGTCCTTAGTGTAATCTAACTACCTATATATACAGTAAGATAATGCCCTTTTGTAACGCCTTTAAATAAGGTTACCTCTAGCTAGAGATTACCTAATAGGCTAGCTATAGTTACTTAGGAATTAAACACCTTTTTACGCTTAGTAACGTCTTATAAATTAATTACATAGGGATAGGATAAGGTATAGGGGATTACTATCCTTATTACTTTAGAACTATTAGTTCCTAGTAAGTTACTAGCTTATAGGCTATTAGCTATTAACAAATTAAGTAAGTTACTAGCTTATAGGCTATAGGCTATTAATAAATTAATTAATAGGCTATTAGCTATTAATTTAGGTATTTATTTATTAATTGTTTTGCTATTAGTAATTATTTAGCTATTAGCTATTAGATTAATTAATTTAAAGCTATTAGTTCCTATTTTACTACCCCTTACGTTAACATCTATAAAGGCTGTAAAAAAGGCGCTTAGTAGTAACAGTAGTAAAGTAAGAAGAAGTGTGAATTTTGCCTGCTTGTATAGATATTCTAGTGTGTTACTTAATTATAAAGCGCCTAGTAGAGTAATATTAGTATACTTAATTACTTTATCTATTTCTTTATTAGCTTCTTTATATATTAAGGATTAATTACTAGCTATAATTAGCTTATTAATTTATTATTAAATTACTATAAGATTAGCTTTATAGAGCTTATTAAGTAATCTATTTATTAACCTATTAAAAGTTTATTTTTTATTAAATATTATGTTATATATAGTAAAAACCTTATTTTACACTAGATACTAGATATAATATAAATTACTAGATATATATCTAATAAGGAATCTAATTTATATATAAGTAGTAAGCTTTTGCTAGTAGTTTTATAATAGTTATACGTCTGCTATTAGTATATACGCTTAGTAGCTATAGGCTTATAAATATAAAAGATCTAGCTTTACTATTAGTAAAAGCTTAGCGTACTTATTAAGTATAAAATATAAGTAAAATAGTTAATATAAGGATTTCTACCCTTAAGCTACTAATAGTGTTTAATTATAAAGGTATATAGCTATAGTTATAATTTTAGGCTATAGGACTTTAAGTAATTTTATATTAATCTATATATATTACGCCTTAAGTTTCATAATTATAGTAATTTACTTAGTGCTGCTGTTTTAAGTCTAGGTATTTACTACTAATAGCTTAATAGAGATTCTATAATTAAAGAGTATATTTATAAGTTACTTAAGGCGTAGGATTTCTTAGTTAGCCTTAATAACTTTTAGTATAATTAAATATTTAGTTTTTAGTATTATAAGGAAGCCTCTTATTATTAAGTTAATAGTATCTTAGTAGTAGCTATATAGGTAGAAATCTTATATAAGGCCTATTACCTAATCTAAAATTATTATTACTAAGTAGTATCCTATATAGCCCTATTTAAGATTATAAAAGTCTAGCGCTAGGTAATTACCTAGCGCTATATTTATAATAGATTTATAAGGCTAGTAGTATATCTACTTTCTTATTTTACTAAGGCTATATAAATTATAGTTATATATTATTATAGCGTTAACTTAGGTTAGATATACTTTATATATAGTATTTATAATCCTTTATAGAGTCTTAGTACTTAGGTAGCTAAGACGCTTATACTATATTATTATATTACTATAGAGTAGTTATTACTATATTAACGTTATATATTTATTTCTTACTTATAGGGTTAGTAGTAAATTATTAGTAGAATATATAGTAAAAGCGCTTTTACTTTTTTAGCTATAGCTATATTACTTATAATATTTAAGTACTTATTAGTTAGCTTATTCCTTAATATAGCCTATAAGGCTGTAGTCTATACGCCTTAGGTAATTATTACCTAGGCTTATATC